ATTTTATGATCTAAGTAGGTTTTCTTCTCATGCAAAGTTAGTTCTTGACCAACATGAACCAGCAGATCTGCTTGTAGGTATTTACTAAGGAAAACTGAAAACATGCTTTCACACAAAGATCTGTACCTGGGTGTTTATGGCAGTATTATTCATAATAGCAAAAAAGTAGAACCAGCTCAAATTTCTCTTAGTTAATAAATGGTAAAGTAAACCAGCAACAAAGAGCAATGAATTGTGGGGGCTGGGGACATAGCTCAGTTGGTAGTACCTCGCATGCACAGAGCCCTGGGTTCAATCCCCAGCACCACCACCAAAAAAAAAAAAAAAAAGGAATGAAGTACAATTCCATGCCATGATGAGGGAGAAGTTTGAAAATAGTCTGTGAAATGAAAGAAGCCAGTCACAAAAGGCCACATTGTGTAATTCCATAATAGATAAATCCCTAAAAACAGAAAGTAGTTTGGGGTTTCCAGGGCTGGAGGAAAGTAAGTAACTAAAAGGACATGTGTGAGATTGGGCATGGGGTTTCTTTTGGGGATGATGGAAAATATTCTGATATAGTAGTATGTGAATTTTATCTTAATAAAGCTATGACTTTTAAAAACAGAATATTGTTGAAGGAAAATGCTTAATTTCTTTTTATTTCATTTCAAATATCAGAGCCAAAGTTTTTCTTTCAAAATAGCTTCCTAGCACTACTGAAAGCTTATTCACTTAGAGTAACTTCTCTGATTTTATAAAGTATTATTATATATAAGCATTGTTTTAAACTATTTAAGTTTGGAAGTATTCAGATGTTATTTTGGCAATCCTTTAGGAAGGGGTTGTGTTATCTCCTACTTTATCAAGAAAATGTATTATCTTTTAGTAAAATTATTAAAATACAGCATTAGAAGGTACAACTTTCATTTGCATCAAAAGGTATAATTTGTATCTAGAAATTTAGGATCATTTAGGGTCCTAATTTCTAGATAGTTTGCCTTGTGTTTTTTCAAAGGATCACCATTAATTTAGAGATTTGTAGGAAACTGAGGTAGGTTCTCAGAACCTGTGCCACAGCTCTCTACAGCAAGTTTCTGACTCTCTCACTGTGACCTAGAAGTCTTCTTTGGACATTTTATATAATAATAGGAACTTCAGGGAGCTGAAAAGCACTAAAAACCTGGGACCTTAGCTCCCAGGCTCAAACTGCTCTCTTCTTCTTTAGGATCTGGGCTCTCACTGGTAGCTCCTGGGAGGTTTTCCTGAGCATATCAGACCATGTTTGGAGTTTGCAGAGCTCAGCCCTTGGACTCAGACCTGAGTCTAAGTACTATGCACATAGACAAAGTGCTTAAAGCCTATGAGTTTGTTCCCAGATTATAGAATGGAGTAGGGGTGGGTGACTACCTCTCAAGCTTGTACAGAGTAAATAAGTGTGGTGTGCCTGGTCAATAACTATACTCAACATTTTAGTTTCATGATCATGAAACTGTCAGAAAGGGTTCCCTCGTATCTAACCAGCCCATTAAGATACCTTTCAAAAACTTGCCTATCTTTCCACCTCTCTGGCTGACCTCAAGAATAACCTTCAATATTCCCACCCAAATGAGACAGAGTTCTGACCCACAAAAGACATATTATATATTTTTTAAAAATCCGTCAAAAATATGTTTAATATTTAGCAGGATCCTGAAACTCCAAAATCCTAGTTTCAGGCAGTTAAGACGATTCCTGGCTACAGGCATCTGAGCTGAGCTGGTTATGACAGGGAAGTTTCTTTGCCAGCCCTTTTGAAAGCTGGAATACAGATGGGCTCAATCTTCCTTCCTCCGGAAGGCTGTGTTCAGTGGAAGTGTTAAGGCTGACCTCAGAAGCCTTTTAAAAAGAATGCATTTTTAGTTGTTGTATTTGCTTTTTTTTTTTCCTCCAAATTGTGAATTTATGTGCATAAGTTTGACATCCGGTTTATAAGAATCATCTTTAACACATGTGTACATTAGCCTTTAGATGGAACACCATTGCTTCATTTTGTTGTTTGGTACTCTGAGAATCAGACACATCGTTGCACTTCCTACAAGTGAACTGGGAAGAGTGAGGTATTCTATTGGGTCCCCATAAGAGCAATAGAGAGTGAAATGCATGATCTTTGCCCTGCATTTTTAATATTATCTCTGTAATAAATGCCATCACCTATATAGTCCTAATTTTGTTTTTGGTTTATTCCCCCTAGAATAAGGAGTTTGTATGTCGAGGGCATGACTACGAGAGGCTGGAAGCTTTCCAACAGAGAATGCTGAACGAGTTCCCCCATGCCATCGCCATGCAGCACGCCAACCAGCCTGATGAGACCATCTTCCAGGCAGAAGCTCAGTGTATCCACACCTGGAAGGCTCACTCCAGTCAGGTCACACTGACTGCTAGCAGCACAGCATTTGCACACTGGGCGTTTAGCCCCTGGGCCCTTCTCAATAGCCATGTTCTTACTCTTCCTCATCTTCTTAATTTTAGCCCAGATCCTTCTGAACAGGAATTGTTCTATTTATTATCATAGTGTCAGATGAAAAGAAATCCCTTACAGATTCTATTGAAGAACTTTTTCCCTTTTAATTAAAACTCCTCTGTATCTCAACTTTGCTTTTAAAGCTCTTTTTTAGTGATTGCCCTTAGAATAATTTTCCTCTGACTTATCTTGTAGAAGCTACTTCAGCTCAGGATGATAGCAGTATGTTCAGGGGTGCAGATGCAAATCATTCACTCCTTATTCTGGAATGAAGGAGGGGAGAAAAAGAGATCTCTTCAGCATCTTCAGGAGACTTAGCTATGACATCTGGGACACCTTTAGTAGTTACCATGAAATTCACACATCCATCATCTAAACACAAGCAAGTCAGCTTAAATCACACAGATGTCATAGGCAAAGGCAGTTCATCACCATACTTCTTCCTGAATTCCTCTGCCTTTGCCTGAAACTGATGGTCTTAAAGAACATATAAAACTCCAAGTGACAATTATGGATACCATCTCAAAGCAGAAGCCAAAATGCAAGAGAAGGAAGAAAGTACATGAAAAAAAAATTTGCTTTATTAGAATTAGAAGAGTTAGTAAACATACAAGTAAATATGGGAGCCCTTTAATGGAGTTTTTTAAAATGTCAGTTATACCTAAACATCTAAATACCTGGTTTAGGAGAATAGAAAAATATAATTATGGTCACAGCATCACACATGTAAATGTAAGTCATTGTCAGTGTTCTGGTTTCTGTATTTGGTCATGGCAACATAAGGGTTTACTTAATACTATAAACAAACAATAAGTTCTAAAGGGCCATGTACAAACTAAGATAAAAGTGCTTCACCAGGCCTGGTGGCATACACCTATAATCCCATCTACTTGGGAGGCTGAAGCAGGAGGCTCTCAAGTGAGCCAGCCTGGGAAGCTTGGTAAGACCCTGACTCAAAATTCAATTTTCTTTTTAAGGTTTACAGTTCTTTTTTAATATAATTTATTTCATTTGTCTATCTATTTATTTATTTATTTTTATGTGGTGCTAAGGATTGAACTCAATGCCTCACACATGTTAGGCAAGCACTCTGCCACTGAGCTGTAGCCCCAGGCGTGAAAATGTAATTTTTTAAAAACGAAAGCTGAGGCTATAGCTCAGTTTTAGAGAATTTGCCTATTATGTACAAGTAGATTTGATCTCCACACATATTCACACACACAAAATAGTGTCTCACATACAAGGATTAGGAGTGATCTGAGTAACTAATATCCAAACTATCCCCCCTACACACACACACACACACACACACACACACACACATACAAATCAGTAATAAGCTTGGTAAGACCAACCAATTCATAGGCCACGGGAATTTAAACCTGACCCTTTGTCAGAGTCACCTACCTAGAACTAGTTCAAGGCCTATAGTTTGAGATATGACTTCAAGTGTGTTTCTAACATCTTTTTGGCAATTTTATAAATAAATTCAACCTAAATGGAAACACCAGATTGTTAACAATCCTCTTCTCTCCACACAGCTCAGCTCGAGCCAGACTTCTTTTAAGTTTGCCAAGTTCAGGTTCTCTCCTTGACTCTTTAATCCTAGATTTGCAGATATACGCTGTAACCCCTATTCCAGAGAGCCAGGAGGTCCTGCAGAGAGAGGGTGTTCCGGACAACATCAAAAGTTTCTATAAAGTGAATCATATCTGGAAATTCCGCTATGATAGACCATTTCACAAAGGCACGAAAGATAAGGAGAATGAATTCAAGGTACCATGCAGTTCTTATTACATTTTTCTCCTCATACTCTATTCCAGACTATGAGTTCCTTGGGGCAAGATTCTTCTGGTAAATGCTCAGAATAGTGACAGAGCCAAAAGGGGCTCTAGAAATCCCTTAGTAGAGTGGTTCTTCAACCCTTCCACGTATCAGATTAATGGGGATTGTTTCCTACAAGAAGAATTTTGACCCCCAAGCCCAGGAATTCTGTCTTGGCTGTGGGAAGAGGTTCTGAAATCAACTTTCTTCTTACAGTTCTAATGCCAGTGGTCCTTAGACCTGTCTTTGAGAACTCATGGTTGAACTCAGTCCTCTTGCCTATTCACATTGAACCCATTGAGGGAACCTCAGGATATCCTCAGATACAAGAATGAAATTAGTAAAGAATATTTCAGGAAAGGGGGATGTTGAGACAGAAAACAGGCGATCCTGAGACAGAGAACAGGCGGATAAACTGCTAGTACAGTGGGTGAATTCTGTGCCATCTTTGTTGTTTTTCCTCATTAGAACGGTGTGTAATTAGGATTTCTGAGAGAACCCAAAGTAAAGGCATGTGTTGTGTTGTCTGCTCAGTAGCTCCAATATGCCTTCCTAGTTCAGCTTGCTCCCAGCCAAAAAGGGTAAGAGTTCTGCAACCCCATGGGGAGAAGGGTCCAGATTGTTTGGCACATAAATTAAAATCTTCCCTTTCTTTGAAAACAGAGACACAGTGAGACCAGATAAATCCCCAGTTAGTCAGTTTTTGCACTAAAATTTCAAGGTGAATTTATTATTGGAGTTCATTGGCTTAGCATCTTTCATTACAGATATTCTCTGTTTGAGCTAGGAAGCATTCTCCTAATACTTTTCAGTCAGAATTACCTAATGCTAGCCAGACACAGAGGTGTATACTTGTAATCCCAGCAACTTGAGAGGCTAAGGCAGGAGAATCACAAGTTCAAGGACAGCCTGATAGCAAGACCTTGTCTCAAAGTAAAATAAAAATGGCTGGAGATGTAACTTAGAGCACTTGCCCTAGTGTATGCAAGGCAGTGGGATCAATCCCCAGTACCACTAAGTACATATATACATACGTACATACAAACCTACTTACCTGTCTACCTAATGTTGTCTCACCAGTCAGCCCTACCTAAATGTTGTCTCACCAGTCAGCCCTACCTAAATGTTGGTTCCCAGTCCTCCCAACAGTCACTCCAGGGATTATTCACCTTTAAGAAATCAGAAAAGAAAACTGTGATTATTTTGCAGAGTTCCATTAGAGCTGAATAAAGGACAGTTCTTTGTGCAGGAAGGTTTGGTGGGTTATGTAGCAAGCAGGGAGACCACTGGAAAACATCACTGTGATATTACTGAGAAGATCCATGATCATTTTCTAGTCCTTTCTAGATACTTCTGTTTCTCTTTTTGCCTCTAAAATCCACTGAAGATCTAATTAGTTTATGATGTAGTTCTCTTTGCAGTTGCTTCCAGTGATAACAAGTCAGAGATGCACTGGAGCCAAACAGCTGACTTGCTCCTAGTCCCATGCTAATTACCTTTGGGCACAGCACTAGAACCCACATCTTCTAACACCCTCTCCATCACTATCTCCACTGCACCACGTTTCCTCATGGCCCTCCCTTTATATATTTATCATCGATACAGCAACACCTCTGGGGCGGGGGACAGTAAATCTGGCTCCTCATTTTTGTGCTTTCAGCCCTCAGAATTGGCTCCAAACGGCACCCCCAAGCCTGTATCTACCACAACCCACTCACCCACCCTCTCCCTCAGTTCCAGCAACACCCAGCTTCTCTCCTTCTCTGTCACGGTGCCCTTTCACAAGCCACTCGGCGTCTGTGCGGGCTGCTTCCTCCTGCCTGTGCAGCTACCCCCACTCTCCTCCTGGCAAACTCCTACTCACTCTTCAAAATTCAGCTCACGCGTCACCTCCTCTGAGGGCTGCCATCCCCCTCCTCAGCATGGCACGAACACCTGCATCCCTCACTGTAACTTGCATGTTTCTTCTCTTCCCTCCAAGATCTTATTTATCTGCTCACCTCCCTGTCACCACCCGAATGCTGTGAAATCTTGTCACAGTGACGCTGCCGTGTTCCTTTCGATAATTCGCAACGGGCATAAACAAATCCTTCCTTTTTGTTGTTGTTGTTGTTGTTGAATAAATGGCACAATTTCAGGCATTTCATATCCTCTTGGTTTAAATAAGAAAATTGAGGCATAGGTAGAAAATGGGTTGATGAAAGAGAAAATCGTCACAACAGCAGCTTGTGCCAAAGGCAGCTGTGTCCTGAGGGTGCTAGTCCTGGTCAGAGGGAGCGCTGGGCCAACTCAAAGGTCAGTCTAAATTACAATGTTTTGGGTGGACCCAGCGGAGGAGGAGGAGGCAGAGGTGGCGACAGGTTCTAGGGGTGGGGTCAGTGCGGCTCTACAGGTGAATAGTGTGCTGCTTTTCAGTAGGTCCACTGTCTCTTAAGGTTTAAAGTGTCTTCACTTTTAAAATGGAAAGATCAAGCTGTGTGATCCCTAAAGCTCTTTTTTTTCTTTAGGATACCAGTTATTGTAGTCTTGCGTTGACTAGCTCCTTCAGTTCCTTCTTTCGGGTGAAAACGACTAAACCTTGAGGGACAAAGAGTTTGAATTCACACGTTAGAGAAATAGCAAAGAATATAACATGATGGCCTATTTTTATATTTTAAAGCTTGCTTTCTGAAGAACGAGCTCATTTATTCTACATAGAAAAAAGTTTCAGGCACCATACAATGGATTTATTAGCATAAGCTTCAGCAGCATCTTACTGTGATAAGTTTCTTGAGTGCTCAAGCGAAGACTAAAGAAAAGGTGACAAATAAGCAAAACCTGATCACGTTAGTCATAGCTCAGTGCCTAGAAAGAAGGGCAACGGGGGACTTCATTTGTTTTCTGTTTTGTAGAGCCTCTGGGTGGAGAGAACATCATTATACTTGGTGCAGAGTTTACCTGGCATCTCCCGCTGGTTTGAAGTGGAGAAGCGTGAAGTGGTAAGCACCCGAGCTTATTCTCAAGTACTTTCTCATCACAGTAGCTCACCTGGAATCATGCTGGATATTAATTGCTTCTGTTTTTGACTCCAAGTCCCTGGATTCACTGATAGTAAGTTAGTGAATATTTATGATCCTGACTGCTGTTACTAAGGCTGTGATGGTGAACATTAACTTTGTCCTAGTCCATCCAGCCAGACAAATTCCTTGAAAACAGCTGTGACTGCAGCCTATAAAAAACTACTTGGGCCCTTGAGTGAGAAGAAGTGAAATTCAGCTCTCCTAATTGCTCTAGATAGCTAAGTAACCTTCAGTGTGTAGTGTGTGGCAGACCAGTGTCAAGAAGGCTTCCTACCATGTCTTACTGGATCATCATATTCAAGCTGTGCATTCTTATATCAGAGTAATGTATTCTTTTCCCAGGTTTCACAATTTTTAACAAGAGACTAAAAGCTTTTCCCAGAAGTTACATAACAAAATGTTGAAAACAGGACAGTCTCAAACTCAGATTTTTCTGATTCCAAAGCCAGTGGTGTTCATCTCTCCTAGCCTTGGTTTCCTTATAGGCAAAATGAAGCTAATATAAAGTCCCAGCACCATGTATGACACACATAAGTCTATACTATGGCAGTCTCCAGTAGAGGGGATGGTGTGATATTAGTAACTCAGCTGTCCTGCATGGAGTACCAGATAGAGATCAGTAGATGCCATTATAGAACCTGGTAGACACAGCACTAAGCTGATTGTCAAACACACCTTTGGTTCCACTCCCCAGAAGTGAATAACAAGGAGATAGTAGCTGGAGGCAGCCACAGTGAGGATGAGACCCAGCATACTGCCATCTCTACTGCTCTTCAGGCTAACAGCATCTGAAGTCAGCCACAGCCCTGACTCTCCCAGCATCCCTCCTGCTCTTAGCGTATCCGTTACGGCTGGATCTGGTCCTCTATCTGAAAGAAAGTGTGCCAACTGTGAAAGTATAATTTAACCCATACTTTATTTAGATAACAGGGCCACTGTCAATGAATAACAGCAGCCCCTGCCCAAATTGTCTTTCCAGAATGGCTAGTCCTACCCCAAATCGCTCAGCATTAAAACTCAGCTTATTATGTTCAATTAAGCTAAGAATTTAATGGGAGTTTCATTTTGCAGTGACAAAAAAATTAATACAGCTCCCTAAACTAATTGGACTCAATTTAGCAGATTGCATCATTGCAGTTGTATTCTTGTTTGGTGTGAATCAAGGATCCCCCAAAGCTGGTACGGCCCGGTGCCCTCCATGGAAAAGAGGAGCCAAACCCAGTGGTCAGAAAGTCTTATTATTATGTTTCCTACTGAATGGCATGGACCAACCCACAGAAGGACTCTTGGTCATCCATGCTGCGATAATGATTCAGAAAGCCCTGTTAGATCCATCAAACCCAGAGCATTAAATCCAGTGAGGTCTTACCTGTGGTCCTAGCTCTTGAAACACACACATACACAAACACACAGCATGCTGGTAATGATAAAAAGAGCTTACTAAACACAGCCTTTCAAACATCAGCTGCCTACTTTATTAGAATATGTAATCTTATGTTCTGTCAGAACAAATCAAACTCGGCTACTTGTTCCCTGATCACAGCCCACTCTTAAGAGCCTTTGTGTTGTTCTCTTGTTCCTGCTGCCTGGAATGTTCCACCATCTATTAAAGTTACTGACTTGCTGGTTTAATTCCTATTATATAAGGCCATCAGGAACACAGATATGTTGAAGTAGGTCTGCAGTAAATATATGCCAAAATGAATTGAGATTCCTTGTCTGCAATGCCCAAATCTGAGAACCAAAGATGTTTACATCGGTTTGACTTAAAAGTCATTTGCTTATGTATCTAAGCTCTTCAATGTAAGGCCATTTATTAACTTACTATCATTTTGTGTGAATGCTTATAAGCTTCACTGCAGAAATATTTATTCAGTTGATTAAAGGAAACTGCCCAGAACCTGATGGGGATTATTGAATTATATGCCCTATATTACCTTTCTAAAATCTGAAAGTTCAAGGAGCTGGGGCTATAACTTAATGGTAGAGCACTTGCCTAATGTGCAAGACCCTGAGTTTGATCTCTTGCACTGCTGAAAAGAAAAGAGAAAATCTGAAAAACTATAAATTCAGAAACGTGGCATTAAAGGTTTCATATGAAGTTATAGATCTTTATTTTTTAAATCATACATCCCGATAGCTTATAAGATTTTGTGAAAACACTAATGCCTTTAAATCTATAGTTCATTTGAAGAGCACTTTGTCATTTGATTCGACTTGGCTCTCTCAACAAATGAATGCTGAGTGTAGATGATCATCTCATTTTCTTAACTCCCAACTGTATGCCGTCTTGTGCTGTGCATACGAAGTCCAGTCTGTCTGGGCTTGTGTCCCCTCTTCTCAGCTATTGTGATTTAGATATGAGGTATCCCCCGAAAGCTGTGTGAGGGAATGCAAGAATGCTCAGAGGTGAAATGATTAGGTTATGACAGCCTCAACCTAATCTGTGCATCAGTCCACTGCTAGGGATTAACTGGGCAGCAACTATAGGCAGGCAGGGTGTGGCTGGAAGAAGCAGGTCATTCGGGGTATGCATTTGGGTGTATATTTTGTCCCTCTTGAGAAGAGCTCACTCTTCTCCTGGCTCTCATGTCCTGAGCTGCTTTCCTCTGCCACACCCTTCTACCCTGATGTTCTGCCTCACCTTGGGCCCAGAGCTATGGAGTCTGCTGATCATGGACTGAACCTTTGAAACCGTGAGCTAAAACAAACTTGCTCCTCTGAGTTGTTCTTGTTGGGTCTTTTGGTCACAGCAATGTTTCAGCTGACTAAAACACCAGCTGAGCTGAAAGCTCCTTTGACACCAGAGGATCTACAAATGATCTTTATTGTCTCCCATGGGGCTTTGTATCAAATAAGCATCTAGAAAGGTAATAGTAATATTTGGGGCCTCTCAATATTTAGTCCTTCAGAAGAAAAGAGAACCATGGGATGCTTGGATTTTAAGGAGTGAATTCATTGTTACAGTACTAATTAGAATGAATGAATGATGATTATCCAAACCACATTCTAATCAATGAATATAATTACCTGCCCTTTTCAGACCTTACTGATGAACAGTTAACTTGACTTTCACGTCCTTTTCTATTTTACTGCATGGCTCCTGGTAGAAGTATTGGTAATTCAGAACATAGATAATCTACTTTTTTCTTCCTCCTTCTTCTTTCTCTTCTTTTTCTTTCCTTTTTCTTTCTCCTCCTTACTTCTTGAGTGTTTCAAAAGTCAATATTATATATATTTATGCTCATTTGCTTATCAGGTTGAAATGAGTCCTCTGGAAAATGCAATTGAAGTTTTGGAAAATAAGAACCAGCAGCTGAAGACACTGATTAGTCAATGTCAAACAAGACAGATGCAAAATATTAACCCCCTGACCATGTGCCTGAATGGAGTCATAGATGCTGCAGTTAACGGTGGGGTTTCAAGGTACCAAGAGGTGAGAATTAGGGATTGTTGTTTGAGAGAAAGTTTTCAGTTTTGATTTCTTAGGGTGTCATGAATCTTTTCAAAATATGTATTCATATCACCATACAGACAAATGGCTACAATTGACACATATATAGTCCTTTGTGAAATAGCGTAAATGTATAGCCATTTGTGATGTCCACTTACTCCATTTCCCCAACATGTAATGTTTTGAGGATGTGTTTATATGAATAAAAATAGTAAAGATTTTAGGATTGCTTAATGAATGTTTGTCTAAAATAATTTGTATGAGCAAAGAGGTTCCTGGGTGTAGAAAAGTCTGATCTTGTTTAGACAATCCTTTAAATGGACTTTTCCTCTGCCCTTTTAGTTTTAAACAGAAGTACGTAGTCACCTGAAGGATGAGGCCACCATCTTGGTCATGCTGAATCATGCAACAATTTATTTTAGGCTAGAATGCCCTATATCTTATTGACATGGGTTTGCTTTTTGTTTATTTTACCAAAGGTACTTACTGTACAATCTCTGATCTTCCTTTAACAATCTTTTCCTTATGTTCCCTTCTGACCAGCCACCCACACTAGGAATCATTCCATCTGTCCCCAAGTGGTTTATAATCATGTCATTTCTCTTAAGATGCCAGGTCTTTAAAAACAACAACTGTGTCTTTTACTTCCTTGGTAACTGTCCTGAAGTAGACTGTCCCTTCTCCTCCTAGGCATTCTTTGTCAAAGAATATATTTTAAGTCATCCTGAAGATGGGGAGAAAATTGCACGATTAAGAGAGCTGATGCTTGAGCAGGTAAGTGAGGCAGAAGCCAATCACCTTCTCTCCATCTTGCCTTCTTGCCTGGTACGTGCTTACTTACCAGAGGCCCGCCTACACTGTTCTCTGAATCAGTGGTCTACTAAAGTGGTGATCAGGAGTTAACAGGCACACCTGTACTGCATCCCAACTAACTAATTCCTACTCTTTCTTCCCACTTGAATACACAAACAAATTTAACAATGAATGAACTATGGCACCCCATAATAGCAAGCACTTCATGTAGTCTCAGTCTCTTTGAATGTTCTTTCCCCAAAAGACTTTCTGTAGGCTTATTGGCTGACTTCTCACTCAAAAATTTGTGCATAAATAAGTTCAGGCTACCTGAAAGTAAATGAATGAGTGCATGAATGAATGAGATTATTATGCAAATGTTATAATTAGGAAGTGGACAATCAATAGAATTTGCTTTATAACAAATATTGTGCTTTACAGACTATGCCTATAGATGATATAGAATGTTCAAAATTAAATAGAACTCTCCCCGCCCCCCCCCTTTTTTTTTGGTACCAGGGATTGAACTCAGGGGCACTCAACCACTGAATACTAAAACAAATTTAACAATGAATGAACTGTGACAGCCACATCCTCAACCCTATTTTTGTATTTTATTTAGAGACAGGGTCTCTCTGAGTTGCTTAACACCTTACAGTTACTGTGGCTGGCTTTGAACCCCAGATTCTCCCAAGCATCTGGGATTATAGGCATACACCACCACGCCCGGCTACAACTCATCATTTTCTACTCCAAAAAAACATTGTTCACATTTACTTATTTGGTACCATCAATTAAAAGAACTGGAGTGACTAATCTGTTGCCTGCTGTGTACTTCCAAGATTAAGCTCTTCCAGGATTATAGCTTTTGGCCTAAAAATGGTTTGAATACCTCAGAGGTAGGAGAGACATGATTAGAAATCTAAGTGAAATGGGAAATAAAGGCATTTTATTCCCAGGAAAAGTGGAGCATGTATGATAAAATGGGGAAAAGCATCTCTCCCCACTTGATAACACCAAAGTGATAAATAAAGCGTGTTCTTTTAGATTAGAAAGTGATGAAGTTGTATCTGATTTTAGTCCATATTTTATGCTCACTGAGCTCAGTCCACAAAACTGGCCATGGATGAAGATACTTGTACAGCTTCTGGAAAAGAAAGAGGAATTACTTGTCATTGATCTGCAGTGAAAAAGAGAATAAATCAAGTTCTCAGTGTGACCCCAGGTGGGATGTAGCTATTAGAATTAAACAGGTTAGGTCATCTAATTCCTAGGAGTATGGGATGGCTTTAACCTTGGTTGATTTTTTTTTTTTAATCTACATTTTTACCTGAGCATGATCTCATGTGAATGCTTTGCTTCAGGCTGTGTCTGCTGTATTCAGCCTGACTAAATTTGTCTCCCCAGAGTTAAAGCAGTAGCTCAGGGCCAAGAATCTTCCCAGGAAAAATAACCAGGGAGTATTTATTTACACCACCTCATGCCTAATTATGTACCAGGACCTTTGGGGAAGACTGTAGCCTAGGAAACAAGATCTCTTGTGTAGATAAGAGGTACAAATGACTTGTCATGTGACTCCCTGTTTGTGGGACCATTGATTAGGGGCCTGAGCTAGAGAATGTGCCATCCTTCCCAGGTAGCTCAGATAAGCTATCTGTTGCCATGAAGAGGCACTGCCCTGTGCTCCTTCCTGGAGCATGACCCTTGACAGACACATCCAGCTGTCAGGTCCTTTGAGGATTACCTCAGCTTCAGAGAGCCACCTGGCCCACATCACTATCTTCCAAATGGTGCACCTCCAAGATTAAGGGGAAAATATAAGCCTGGCCAATTGGGGCAACATGGGAGGACACCGTAAAGCTCCACAGGGCTTAGGCAGTAGCTGGTCAGCTTGCCATGCAGCCTAATTTCTTTTTTCGACAAGTTCTGCTTCTGATCCACCAACAGATTCTCCCCAGCGAACATCCTAATATCCAAGCCAGAGTCTACTTCCTGAATGACCCAACTTGCAATATTGAGAATCTGACAAAAAGGGAGGTGACTCAATAGCTAGCATTTAAAATGGAGAAGACTGGCAGCTCCTCTAACTAGACTAATCTCCTTCATCCTTCCCATCCCCTCAGGACAGAGGTCAATTGCACCTTTATCGCACTCTAGCTCTTTCTTTCAAAGGTGTCCTTCATATTTATTTCAAGGTGTTTTTCCCCTTTTACAAATGTGTTGGATAGGGTGGGCATCCAGAGTAGGCATTGTCATTCGATGTTGCTTAGGGAAGCTGCTAGATTCTCTTATTCATTAGGGTCAGTTTTGTTTGGCTTTGAACTTCCAACCTAAAATCTTCAGGAGCTGGAAAGATACAAAACCTTGTGGTATAGTATCATTTGTTTTCCTCCCAAGCTAAGGAGTTGGTGGTACTGATCACTATAGAATTTTTAAATTTTCAAGATAGCTGGTACTCAAATCAAAGGAATCATACACTATTCCCTTTTCTAGCTGAACAAAGGAGATAAACATGTTTATGTCCATTTCCTTTTGGGTCCTCACAGCAGGAAAACTTTTTAAGAACAACCTGTTCCTTTGTTGCATTGTAATTAGCAAACAAGAATAATATCTTAAAAACAAGAATCCCTGGGCTGGTGGCTCATGCCTATAGTCCCAGTGGTTTGGAAGGCTGAGGTAGGAGGATCAAAGTTTCAAAGCCAGCCTCAGCAACTTAGCAAGGCTGTAAGCAGAGTCCGTCTCAAAATAAAAAACAAAAAGGGCTGGGGATGTGGCTCAGTGGTTAAGCATCCTTGGTTCAAATTTTAAAAAGAAGAAGGAGGAGAATAAGAATAAGAATATCAACAGTTGCAGAATTTCTGCTTGTTTTTTTTCCTTCCTGATGGGGTTTGAAAATGTGGGAGGGATTTGGGGGTGGTCACAGAAGAACCTAATGGAAGAGAAGAGGATAACAGGAAAGAGAGACTGCCATCCAAAGAAGAGATTCCTGGAGGAGACCCGGTTGACCCTCTTAACAAGGGAGCAGCTCTTATCCCATGCTGGGAAGGGCAGGAAAGTGTCAAACTAACTGTTAGGAGATTTATATTTCAAGATCTAAAATACACAGAAAAAAAATTATGAAAAAACAAGTTTTTGGAATCAGACAGACCCAAGTTCAAATCCCCATTTGTCTTTGACTACGTGCAAGACTTTTCTGATCTTATTTTCTCACTCATAAAGTAACAATTGTTCCTCTCTTATGGGATCCAGAAGATTAGCAATAATGCATGCATACAGTGCTTGGTCCGTAGCATACACTGTGAGAGATGGTCATTGATGTGGGTTTTTCCTTATGTTATTATCAAGGCCCAGATTCTGGAATTTGGTTTGGCTGTGCATGAGAAGTTTGTACCCCAAGATATGAGACCCCTTCACAAAAAGCTGGTTGATCAGTTCTTTGTGATGAAGTCAAGCTTAGGGATACAGGTATGTATGCTCAGTGTTCATAGTGGAGTAATCTGACTACTGCCCTTTGCTTTTGCTTTTTCTTTTTGAAGAGACAAACAATGAAGCATCCAATAGTGACATCTTTTGGTTTTTCTGCCAAACTGCAGCACCAACCGGGGAGCCTTTAAATATTTAAAATGCGGGGAGCCTTTAAATATTTAAAATGCATTGTCTGCTGCTATTTGCCATGTTTATGTAGCATGTAAATAACAATGTGAGGGAAGGCTTAGTAATTCTGGAATTTACCTTAATGGTTTCCTATGTAAAGATTTCATGGCATTTAGGACATGTATCTAGTACATTAAAATACCGTGGCAGTTAGTTTGCCCATATCATCACTGTAATACAATATTTCCTTTACCACATCTTTAGGAGTTCTCTGCTTGTATCCAAGCCAGTCCTGTTCATTTTCCTAATGGAAGTCCTCGGGTGTGTAGGAACTCAGCACCAGCTTCCATGAGCCCAGATGGTACCAGGGTAATTCCTAGGCGCAGGTAAGTCATATTTTGAATTACCTTACGATTTGGCATCCCCACAAGATGATCTGGAATGGTTCTCTCACTCTCTATGGCATAATTTGTCAAATGGGCTTTTTCTTAATGAAATAATTAACCCGCAAGGCAGCTGCAGACATCTGCCACTGGTAAAACAGCAACAGCATGAGAAATAAACAAACTCAAACATTTGATTATATTGAGGCAAACGGGAGACAACAAAATGGGATGTCTACTCTCCCCCCCCTTTTGGTTTTATACCTTGCCAGCATGTGATAAAGTGCAATTTGGAAACCAAGTTAATGACCATTTTTATTTTTTTCCCTGAAACAGCCCATTAAGTTACCCAGCTGTCAACCGGTATTCTTCCTCCTCACTGTCCTCACAAGCTTCTGCTGAAGTAAGCAATATTACAGGGCAATCAGAAAGCTCTGATGAAGTCTTTAACATGCAGGTACTTTATTAGCTTTTTGTCTGGTCGTGTTTATTCCTTTTCTGTCTCAATCGTGAGAGTGTCTGTTCATTCTGCTGTGCTCATGAACAGACCTTCAAGCAAGAACTTGACTTAAGGACAAACCTTTAAACGCTCTTATTGCTTTGTTGGTCTTTGGAGCCTGCAAAGATGTTTCCAAACTACCATCACTTTAAGAAGACATGAACAACAATGGAAAAGCTCAGGCAAGCCACCCAGGGTTAGCTTTGAGACCTACCATCCCCCGTCCTGAATTTCTTGAAGTGTGTTGCCACACTAGCTGCCCCTCAGCATGTCTAGGTGGCTCTTTAAGAAAGACCTGATTTTAGGGTTCATTAAAATTTTTTTCTCTACTTATATACATATCAGAAATTTTCTATAATAAAGTTTCTTTTTGGGAGGGGGACCAGGATTGAACTTAGTGGCACTCGACCACTGAGCTACATCTCCAGCCCTATTTTGTATTTTATTTAAAGACAAGGTCTCACTGAGTTGCTTAGTGCCTCACTTTTGCTAAGGCTGGCTTTGAATTCGCGATCTTCCTGCCTCAGCCTCCCAAGCCGCTGGGATTACAGGCATGTACCACCACACCCAGCTATAATAAAGTTTTTATAAGAAAAAAAATATAGTTTTTAAATATTTTAGAGCCAACGTAAGTCTTGCAATGAAACATTTTATTTAGACATCACTAATACGGCATTTAGGATAGTTTAGTAGGACCAAGCTGAATTGTTCCCCCCACCTTCTTTGGAAAAGGAATACAACATGTATTTCCAAATTCATGCTTTGAATTCATTTTTTAAAAGAATGAGAAGGCAGTCCCTGTGCCTTTTAGAGACCTTCGCCCAGGTACATGCCCTGGGCTGGAAGTCACTCTACTGACTCTTTGGGTGTGTGCTGCTGAGAGGTATGCAGTCACTGACAGTAGCAGAAATGAGTGCACAGGTAAACCTTTGGTGTCAGTGAAAATCTCAGATTCTTGATTAATTCAGATAGGACTTATCAGTGAGTTTGTAAGATTTTTGTATATTTTTAAATGGCCTTTTGATGGGTTTTTTTTTTTTTTGCTAATTTGGAAAAAAAATGTTGATGGTTTTGTTTCTAATGTGTCCATGTCATTTGAAGCCTCTAAACAGTATGTAACAGCTCCCCATGTATTTCCAGCCAAGTCCATCTACCTCAAGCCTGAGTTCTACTCACTCTGCTTCACCTAATGTGACAAGTTCTGCTCCATCGAGTGCCAGAGGTCAGTGCCAGAATGTGGGGGGGACTAAGGGTGTCCAAAGAAACCTGTGGCCTACTGCCACCGAAGCTCAGCTCTTGCCTCTAAACAGGTCCAACCTGGCACCACACATGATTCTTCCCTTCTCTTCCCAGCTTCTCCTTTGCTATCTGACAAACACAAACATTCCAGAGAAAACTCTTGCCTGTCCCCAAGAGAAAGACCCTGCAGTGCCATTTATCCAACACCTGTGGAGCCATCTCAGGTATTCTTTGTGGGTGAGGAAACCAGAATATAGGGAAAAGTCTGGAATTGCTTACATACCTCTTCAGAAGCACACCATAGCTTCCAAAAGCAACCAAATGGGCATTGTCAGTCCACAGGCCAGCTGGGTGAAGAGTCCCCCTTTGTTTTATTCCCCTTGTAAGGAATTCTGTCTGAGCCTTGTATTTCTGGTAGTGCTATATGGGTTGTATAGCAGTACAGGTGAAAAGGAAAATGGGAAATCCTTTTTCCTCTTTAACCAACATTTTGTTTCTTTATTAAACATTCCAAGGGGGAGTGGGTGAATGGATCGCCTGTGTGTGTGTTTGCATGTGTATATAACAGAAATCCGGGGGAGCCTTTTAGGTTAGCAGATGACTCTCAAGAAAAAGTATACTGCTACCTGGCACTCTTCTTTTTTTTTCTTTTTTTTTAAATTTTTTATTAGAGCATTATTGTTATTCCTGGTAGCTAGGTTCATCCTGACAAAATCATATATGCAAGGAATCTGACCTACTCCATTTCAGTCTCCAGTTCTCCCCCTCTCCCCATGACCCCTGCCTCTATTTTTACTCCACTGACCCTCCCCTTGCTCTTCCATTTATCCATCCTTGGTTGGTGCTTTCCACATACACATATAGTTGAAATTCCCTGTGGTGTATTTATATATGCACATAACATGATTTTGTCAAATTCATTGCTCATTTCCTCCCTTTTCCTGCCCCTTCTTCCTCCCTCACAATCTCCTTCTTCTACTCCGCTGATCTTCCCTATATCTTTATGATATCAGATGCCCCCCCATGCTTTTTTTTTCCTTATTTTGTTCTAATTTTGACAAATGAGAGGAAAACATCAACCCTTGGTTTTCTGAGTCATGCTTGTTCCACTTAGCATGATGTTCTCTAGTTCCATCTGTTTACTGTTAAATGCCACAATTTCATTCTTCTTTATGGCTGAGTAAAACTCCATTGTGTTATATACCACATTTTCTTAATCCATTCATCTATTGACAGGCATCTCGGCTGATTCCATAATTTGGCTATTGTGGATTGTCCCTCACTCTTTCTTTTTTCTCTTACCTATGTAAGAGAGCTGCAATCCATTCCATTCTGAAATCCCCAAGAGTGCAGGAGCAATTTGTTTGCCTTTGCCATTCTTCTTTAAGGCATTGAGGGCAAAGTGGCTGCATCCTCTGGCTTTCCCAGTACCCTCACAGGGACAAGGGAATGTAGCTTGAACCCTCCTCCCCCAAACTTGGCTTCAAAGTGATTCTCTTAATCTGCAGGTTGAGGTCATGGGTTCAGCCCTTTGGGCACTTCTAGAACATCAAAGAATGATTTCAAAGTTGAAGATTTGTATGTAGCCCTGAATTTTTATAGACTATTTGGGAGTAATTTAGAAGCGGAGAAAAATAGTTATTTCTACTCCAGCTAATTTCTCTGTTTTTCTACACCATCCTGGCAGAAGTCTGTAGCTGCATCTGGAAGTGGATGAGAGCGAGTGGGATTTGGCTTGATTGGTTTATCTTTGCTGATTGTGTGATCTTCCCGAAAGTCCCAGGATACCTCCTCTGCGCAGCACTGATGTCTTGCAGAAATTATATCTGAGTGCGTTTGGCTGAACCAGCTAACCAGTTTTATTTCCCTTTGTCACTTGATGTTGCAAGGGGATTTCACAGTGTGTTCCATCTGCTCTAGGAAAGTATGTTGGCAGCATGGGAAACTCTGAAAGCCTTCCCTGATTACTCTCCTGAGTTTTCTACTTTGGGTAAAATTCAAAGCAGTGTGTATATTGCCAATATTACAATAATAATATTGCCATAGTGCATCTAGTTAAGGACTTGGAACTTTTTTTTAATAGGTCACCATGTAAAACTGGCATTTTATAGGTTAAAAAATACAGAATATTAACCATTTCATATGTTTTTAAACTTAATTTGGACTTAAAATGTGAAGGGGTTAAAACGTCCATTCATTAGAGAATTTTTTGAGCTACAGTTTCTCCTTTCTTACCTTAATTTCATATTGCCAGTCTAGCATTTGTATTTACAAAGAACACCATAGCTCAACCACTATTTAATATTTTTTTCTATATTTTTTGATAAATATTTATTTACCATTGATATTTAAAATGAAATACAAACTTCTAAAACACTATTCTTTTTCTCAAAACCTAAGGCTCTTTTCACCTTAAGTATAATTGAATTCTTTGTTCCTAGGCTCATCATACCATATAAAAAAAAATACTTTGAACAAAAAGTTTCAATAAGGAGATATTCATGTCATTTTCTAAAAGGTCTCACTTGTCGGTATATTGCATCATAAAAACAGACTCTTATCCCTTTCCAGAGAATGCTGTTTAATCACATTGGAGATGGGGCCTTGCCGCGAAGTGACCCAAATCTTTCTGCCCCTGAGAAAGGTGGGTATCTACCAGCCCCCTCCTCAGTCCTGGGATGTATAAGGGTTTGTTTTGTCCTCATTTTCTCCAGTCTTCCGTGTGTCCTGTGGAAGGCAGGGCTCTAGGTCCTTAATGATCAGGACTAGTATACTCTTTAGGGAACTAATGAAAGACAGTATTCATGATCCATTCTTCATCAACTGTTTGTGAGATTTAAGAGCAGAATCTGAGCAACTTAGAAATGCCTCTGTTGAATGACTTTTGTTGTCTTTCATTGAGTCCCCATGTGAAGCCTGTTCTTCCTGAAACAAAGTTGCCAATTAGGTTACTTGTTCAGCACAATGAAAATAGCAACTTGGCAGATTGATTCTGTGGTCCCTATCCTTTGTCTCCCTTACAAAGCCCATTCAGCCAGCTCATCTGTTGTTTGTGGTGACTCAGATATGGGTCCTGTACAATTAAATATTATTAAAAATTGCAATCCAGTGCATAACGGAGTGTGCCCTGCTCAAGGTCACACACACGTGCAGACACACACAAATGAGAACCAAATACATGCATCTGAATAAGCAGCCAATTAGCATTAGTTTTGCAACATGGGCAGAAGATGAAGAGCAGATTAAATGTCACTTCTTCAACTGTGGGGGGTGGGGGTTTGCAGCAAGTCACCAATTTGCCGCTTCAGGGTCAGGCCTCAAAAATAGGAGCAGTCCCACAGGCCAATGAATCAAGAGTCCCTAATGAAACGTCCCGGTAAAGTGCACTTTAATTGCCCTCATTAAAAACTAGACTGTATTGTCATTTGGGTACTGACACATTAACATTAAAACTTTCCAAAAAAAGATGGAAATTAGTGAGGCCTTAGCCAAAATAATTTTAAAATGCTAATTTAACTTTAATATTTTGAGTCAAGCATTGATCTTTGCTGCTAGAACTTGGGTGGGTGTGCTGTTTTTCTCATCTCTTCTATCAAAAGAGAACCACAAAGCAAATTTAAAAGGAATAGAGAAAAAATATCTTAAGAGTCATTCCACTCCGTTAAATGAAAGTGGTAATTCAGTGGGAAAATGTGGAAATTTTCAACATGTCCAGGAGATGGCAGTATCTATACAGGGAGTGAGCTCCTGGAACTCCAGGCGGACTTCATTGCATAGTGACTGTCACCAACCTTGTCAGTCCTGCCCTGGTTCCTGGCAGGATTGTTCTATATTCCTGCATCTCAGTGAAGCATGGAGCAGATAGATCACAAAATAAGAATGGCACTCAGTATTCCAAATGGTTTCCTTAGGACATATTTCACTGCAATCCACTGATTTCGGGAACAAGACTTCTTTCTTCAAAGAATTGGTCAATGAGGTGGCGTGGTACAGCCATGCTTTCCCAGTAGTTCTGCCAAACAAACTGTTGAAATATTAGGATGTCATTGCCTTCTCCCTTTTTGGGTGCCACATGTCCATAAATTTCCACTAAAAAAACAAGTTTTAAAATAGACCAGTGACTATATCTTCCATCTGTCTCCCAGCATCTAAACACATTTGTAATTCTCAACAAGTTTCTATACTCTGGCATAGAGATTTGTAGTCCTGTTTTACAGCTTAGGGAATTAAAGAGACATGCTAGCCTACAATTAAATGTCAACTCTGTCAGGTAGCCAATTAAACAGAGTTTGGGTATTCAGGAGGTTTTCCTCTTTGTTTTTTTTTTTTTGTTTTGTTTTTGTTTTTCATTCTGAATAATTCTGGATTTTTGCATTCTGGATAATTCTGACTTTATTCTAATATCTCAAGTGTTGGAAAAGCAAAGCTGGACCATGTGTTTTTAGCTGTGTTATTCCCTTCCAGCTGTGAATCCTACCCCTAGCAGCTGGAGCCTGGACAGTGGGAAAGAAGCCAAGAACATGTCGGATAGTGGGAAACTTATCTCTCCCCCTGTCCCTCCAAGACCCACACAGAATGGTGGGTATTTGAAGCATTTGAACAATTAGTTTTGTAAACTAACTATTACTCACTACTCCAACTTATCCTCAACTCCTCAAAGAAAGGTGGGCGTTTGTTTCTGAGGTGAAAGCCATGGTAGCTGCACAGTTCTCCCCTTTCCCCGGCTTCTGTTACATGTCCAACAGTGGTCCATTTCTAATGAAGCCCTCAGGCAGATTTGTCAGTGCTCACCAGTCACCATCTTCCACCCTCTAACCTGCTGGGCCACTCACGTTTCCTCCAGCCTTTGCTTGAGCCACCTGGTTCCTATCACCCTCTGCTAACCCAGGCACTCTCCTCAGTGTCATTCAGGACTCATGCCAAGGTTTCAATTGCCCCTAAATAGGAATTAACTAACAGCAATTTTGATGGGCTTCTGGCATTCATAATTACCTGCTGTTTTCTAAGTCTGGATGTAAGGGGAGTGTTTTTCAAAGGTCGATGCAAAGCAATGCATTCCCTAGGATCCTAGCTCACAAAGCAGATTCTGAGACCTAACCTCAGCCATACTGAATCAGAATTTTAGGATTCCTGAGAAAAGGACCTTGTGTCTGTATTTTTACCACACCTTTCAAGTGATTCTCATGCTCACTAGATTCTGAGAACCTCTGGTAGTGGTTTCTGAGAAACTTCTGGGATGGGGTGGGTAGTTCAGTGGTAGGTGTTATGTTTAGTACACGCAAGGCTCTGGATTCAATCCTCATCACCAAAAAGAAAAGAGAAGAAATTTCTTTCATGAGTGTACAGCAATAAGAGGCCACTTTCCTCCTGAATGGAGACTTGAATGTGGAGTTTTGATGTTGTTTTGGG